AAATTACAGCTATCAAACAAACATTCTGCATGTAAAAATGTACAATATAAAATTTTGCAGCCTTCAAATTTAATACATTTAATTTCCACTTGTTCTCTCTTGTCAAAAGAAATCACCTATATTCAAATATGATGCCTGGCATTAGTAATATTTACCGATGTACAAAAGTAAATATCATTATAACTTAGTATACTGTAGACTAAATAACTGCCAGTTAATTATATGTCAACATGGTGCTAAATAAATCTATTTATCAGCAATAATTTTAGTGCAAATCAATTATTTAATTAACATATAATTATATTTGCACATCAATTTGCATTTAGAAATCATACTTTCTACCTCAAAGCGAACGAATCTATTATGAACAAAATAAAGTTTGTTTATCCTTTTAAGCTAATTAATTCAAACAAACTAAACGAGTGCAATATTAGCCGTTGTAAATTTTAACCCGTGTCCTAATTTTACGTAACTAAACATGTTTCAAATGCCGTACATTTTTCAGACATTCCAAACTTTTATTTTTAAGTAGTTCTGCGAAAAGCTGAACGATGTTTCAATTAAGCCGTACACGTAATAAAATATAGACATAATGTAATATTATTAATTATTAAAAAGATATCTTTATTATATTCTTCACCACGTACAATCATATATCTTGGTACTTATAAGTCATAATAATACAAATATTCATAATTTTTGGCATGTGATAACGCCGAAATGTGGAAATGAATTATAAAAATTCTACCTCAGATTATATACATGAGCTTCGAATTTTTTCAACCGTGAAGAAAATTATATTTCTTTTGGTTTCGAAGACGTATAGACTAATAGGTATATTCCAACGATTCGGAGAAACATACTGTCTTTATCATCAGGGTTGAAGTGGAGAAAATGAGAAATGAATAGATTTTTGTATGGATGGAGAAAAAGAAGGGTAAGGAATTGGTCTTGTGTAACATTAACCTGTTAATCTTTTACGGTAAGGAGTTGTTTACCAACCAGTTAATCCAGAAATCTGGAGAACCAACCCCCGGTCGGTGGTCTGCGACAGCTTATTCAATATATTCACAACTATCCTCCTTATCGAGAATATATTTTTGTGGAGGAGGACATTAAATGCGATATCTGTGGATAATACTGATGTAATCTAAACCGTAAAGCTGAATAAAATGTAAGCAGTTTCAATCTCTCTGCATGTAAAGAATGCAGCAAATCTCATATTCAAAAACATAACCACCATATCAAATAATGTGAAATTAATTAATAACAATAACCAAAAATGTGCAACACATAACAGCTCATACAACAAATAATTTTACTGACGAATGAATATTCATGGCGCGCCCATGTGCATTGTCACAAAGTGCGTCGGATCCAAAGTGCTGTTCAAGAACACTGAAATCACTTTTTGACTGGTCAAAGACGGTCAGGGCCTGAAGCTAATTAAAGTATTTAATACTTGGTTTAGTTTAAAAATAACTTAATTATGTGCCTGAATATCTGCTACTGAACAATAAAAATTAAAGTTATCAACAACAATTACAAATAAATACTCCTGGGTTTTCTGGCCAGAAGTATCACTCAAATATAAAGTTGTTAGAAGAGACATAATGCGTGTTAATTTCAGCGCAAACATATTTGTCGACAAGAAGCTGATGGTATCCACAGAGTTATCAAGTGATTCAAATTATCAGAGAATTCATAAGTCTCTGGCAAATCATCTTTACTTAAAGACGAATCATCTACGATAATAATAGTGAAACATAGAACATACCTCAATCTGTGTTGGCCGTGAGCAATTTTTTGAGCAGTATATGTCTAGCGTCTTCATAGAAACGCGTCCATATTTATTTTGTTTGTCTACAATTTTTCTCTAAGACTCTGACTCTAATTTTCCAATACTAACAAATGGCATGTCGTCTATACTAAACCCCCCCCCCCCCTTACCCACCAAGCAAAACACTGATTCTTTGTTCGTTCAAACATTTTGTAAAAGATGGGTTTCATTTTCTGAGTTTAAGTTAATATATTAACTGTGACCGACATAGATTAATGTAAAGGTGCTTCGATCGACTTGACAAGTAGTTGTTCTAACACGTTCGTTGCCTCAAAGCATGCCGCACAGATTCTGCGAACTAAGCGAAAATGATTGTCAGATGTTTCTAGCGTGTTCTTTGTTCACAGACGTTTTGTCGGTGTTTTTATTCCTTCCCAGACGCTACCATCGTTTACAAAACTGTTATATCAAGAAAGAATCAAAGGTTTACTTTGTGGACACCTGTTCTTAAGCCCACTTAATTCCCACTTCACCGTCACAAATGATTTCGTTTCAAGAACAACTTACAAACAAAACTCCTGTCCTAACCCAGACGCCATTTTGCGATTCTACTAAAGCAGTGCTATCTAGGGGCCACAATGTGCAGTAGACTGAAAACTAAGCGCTATATTTGAAAATATTGTAGTTAATAGTTCTAACTTCTTTGCGTAACGAGAGATTTTAATCTTAAATGAAGATTATTTGTGAAATTCTCACAAAATGTTCGTTAGGAAGCATGAAGGAAATAGATAACTTGGAGAACTTAGTAGCAGATGGGGGGTAATAATACTAAAATCAGAATTGATGATACAGGATTGGAGGGTCTTGACTGGTTCTTGTGTTAATTAAAATTAACCCCCGGGTTCTTGAAAGAACTTGAAAATTTCTTAAATAGCTGAGCAACTATTAGCTTCTCATTAAACGTTCTCGTCCTGATAGTTAATTAAGACTCTTGATGTAGCCTGTGCCTATAAACCAAGACCATTCATTACACGAAAATAATATTAATAATGTCAAAATGAAAAAGCGCTTATAATTTACGTTAAAATAAATGGTTCTATAAATGGTTGTTCTCCATACTTTGAAAACTACGTTATTCTGCTAACTCCTGTTCTAAAGTCACTGCAAACCATGTAGTTAATCTTAAAATAAATTATAGAAACCAAAATGTCAAGACCCCACCATTGCATCTGTTTATTATTAAAAACTTATACTATCATAATACTGCAAGTGATACACAGTACTACGTAAAACAAATTTATCTTCCAACGCAAGTCTAAGAATTACATCGGTCAAAGTATCCACTATGAAATACTTTCGGATGCTTCGATGTAATAAAAGCCCTAGTCTTATATTGAGGTAAATGCAATGGTTACCAAAACGTTGTTAAGCAACCAATGCAAATACCAAATGCATGGTGTTCTGCTTGTTATGGCAGAGTGAACAGGGTTCTAAGTTCACATGACTCCGGGAACCGACAGATTCTGTACGAGATGAGTGATGGAACATATCCGTCATAAACAAAGTGGCTGGAAAGTTCTAAGCAGCTCTTGAGGAAAACACAAGTTTCAGGAGGAACGATACTGACGTATTTAGAGAAACAGGCTTATTTAGGTCACACTGAGTCATCAGTTGACTCAAGTTCTACGTAATAATATTCCAGATACTAAATTTGTGGGAACTGATGACTAATATCCTTAGTAGGCTTCATTCGGCAAACAGCCTCCAAATAGAAATCGATTTCAAGCAAGGCCTCTACCTGTACATGGGACAGCACAACACGAAAAGACGCGGACAAACATCCATGGCTCGAGTGGGATTCGAACCCACGGTCCCAGTGACCAAGCGGCACAAGGCCCACGGCTCAGACCGCTCGGCAACTGAGACGGCCATCTTAGTACAATAGCATTTCATATTTAATTCTTTACCATCATTTATGATACGATACAATTTAGCCTGAACAATTCAGTTATTATAGTGTCTGAAACAGTTGTACCATTCATTCCACCACTTCCTAAGTTTAATCAAGCATTGGAACAAATTTAATTCAATTGTCTGTCGTCATTCGATTTTAAACTTACTATACATTGTTTTTAAATCCGAAAATTCATTACCATCTAAACATTCTTCAGCGAATTACTGTTTTTGTTGTTGCTACAGTAAAACCATTAACAGCATGTAATCTGAGTATCAATATTGGAAGTCAAATCCGCTTAGTGCAAATGGTACGTATGTTGGACCATGTGATTTTTGATTTAGATAGTATGTCCTATACCTTCCTGGTTTGCATTTTTTGTGTTACGGTATTACTGATTGTTGACCGTCGTGGTGATACTGCTGTGTCCTCCAACTATTTCTGTGTATTTCCCTTATGCACCCATATGGAATGGCTGAGGTAAAACCAACTATGTTGTCAGAACTTATGTATATCAGTTGCTGTGTATTTCCTATCGAGTTGTGGTTATATTTGGTTAATGAGTACAACATGATTGGTCTACAACATATTGGAGAGTGTATTCATCGTTGGATGTCGTCTTTATCAGACATCTTCTGACTGTTGTAAACTAATGTCAATGTAATTTATAACAACCTTTCCTGTGTTGATTAGTCAATGCATTATGTTTTATCTATTCATTCTTTTGAAATATACATGTCTTCTTCTTATTAAAGTGCCTCTCCGTTCCGGATGTTGGCGATCAGCATAGCAATTTGAGCTTTACTGGCTGCTACTTGAAACAGAACTCCAGTGGACATCGAGAACCAATTTTTTAGGTTCTGAAGCCAGGAGATTCTTGGCCTGTCAGGTCCCCTCTCTCCGAATACTTTTCGCTGGATTATCAGCTGAAGCAGCCTGTATCTATCACTATTTCTCATGATAAGACCGAAATATTCCAACTTTCTCTTTTTATGGTGTTAACAACCTCGACGTATTTGTGGAGTTTCTCGAGAACGTTTTTGTTAGTTACACGATCAGTCCAGGAAATTTTGAGAATACGTCAGTACAACCACATTTCGAAGGCCTCCAACTTCTTTGAAGAAGCTTCGGTCAACGTCCACGATTCAGCACCGTATCAAAGCCCTGAGAGAATATACATGTAGTTTGGAAATAATAATGTAGTTCATAATCTCGACTTTTATTTTCCGAGTCGGATATCCAGCAGACCAAACTCTCATGTTTCAGGCGTGCAAATCAGGAATCTACGTGTACCGCAGTCCGTGAAGAACGGCAGTCGGTCGGCGCTACTCGACTGCGATTACACGTTGAAGCCGGAAGAACTCGCCGCCGACTCGTATTTGGGTCTGGTGGTAAAGTGGTACTTCAACAGCAGTCCCAGCCCGGTGTACCAGTGGATCCCGGGACAGAAGCCGCAGGACCTGGGCATCCTAAAGGGCAAGCTGGACTTGAAGCACCGCTCCTCAGACCACGGAGCCACCATGTACCGGGCTCTGTACATACGAAACCCCACGACGGAACTCTCCGGCGAGTACAAGTGCCTCGTGTCGACCTTCGACGACGAAGACTTCATGACCAAGAAGATGGTCGTCTTCGGTAAGGAATTCTCCAACTAACTAACTAGATGGCTTACCGAACCCGAAGGTTCATCACCGACTAACCAAAATCCTTCACCTGTCCCTGTCCTGGGCCAACAAAATCCAGTCTCCTTCAACTCCTATCTCCCACAGATCCCGCCTGAGATTATCCTCCCATCTACGTCTAGATCTCCCAGCGGTCTCTTCTCCTCAGGCTTCCGGACCAATACCCGGTGCACACCTCTTGTCTCATCCATGCTCGCTACTTGCCTCGCCCGTCTCACTCTTCTCGACTTAATCACCTTGACAATATTGGGGGAGGAGTACAGATTTTTAAGCTCATCATTATACAGTTTTCTCCAGACCCCATCATCTTCTCTCCTAGGCCCAAATATCCTCCTCAACATCCGATCAACCTGCAATCTGTGTTCCTCCCTCAGAGTTAGAAACCATGTTTCGCACCCATATAAAACAACAGGCAATAAAAATAACATTTGTAACAATAATTCCTTTGTTTAGTAAATTTCGCTTTTTGGATTCAGAGGTTATACTGCATCAAGTGGAATAACATCAATAATAGTGGACAGGTAACGTTTGGGATGGAGACAGTTATTTCATTTATATTTTAAGATAATTTAACGTTATTCGCGTAGAGGAATAATAAAACTGGCTGTTGATTACATGTCTGTCGGTATCTGTTAACGATCGCATTAAAATATTATAGTAAGCGAAAGGATGTTGGAGTGCGAGCTTTATTTTTTATTATTAGTGTTTTGTCTGACGACAGGTCCATATGAACAGGATCCTTCCATCCTTTTCTCGGACTGGGACCTGTTCATATACGTTCTTGGCAGATGATCCAGAAGTGGTTTGCCATTGCCTTCTTCTGTGTGTGAATGGAGTAATTGTTGAGATGCCACGGAGAAATCGGAGAAGCCCCCGGAGGAATACTCCGTGTTGCCTAGACCACGGCCTTGCCCAACACAAGTTATAAATTCGGGCACCGCCGGGAATCGAACCCGAGACCCCAGGATTACAAAGCCAGCTGATATAGCTGATTATAAGCAACAATTCATATGGCTTAAAATTTTCTAAGGTATTTCGTGTAGATTTGTTGTCACACAGTTCAGAATTTCGAAAAAGAATATCATTAAGTGGTTAATAGTCACTTTAAATCCACTCCATATATTGCTACAGTTACATAACGTGAATGAATAATACATTGACCTCTGTATAACCATAAAATAATTTGTAAGCCTTGGCAGCTTCAAAGAAACGAGGCAAATATTTTATTCATCAGTTAATTGTTAGGATGAATTTAAAGAATATATATACAGCAGAAGCTGAAAATGTCAGCCACCTTATGTAAGACAAACACTCACTCCTTTTTAGTGTGTTTAATACGAATTTTCGAAAAATTTCTGGGTCGATGTTGGCAACAGTCTGTGTAATATCTTCTTAATCAATTCTGTTCTCCTGACAATTAGCTTCCGACAAACAATGAATTAATAGAGCAGAACTGAAACAGCGTTAAAAAGTAGATACCCTTTCCTTTTACCACAGCTGAAGTCGAGGTCAGACGCAGCTCTCGAAACGTTGTGAGTTTTATAACATCAGACAATGGACGAGGTCCAAAGCCCCAACAATAAAGGTTAGGACATATGAATTTTGGTGAGAAATGTGAAAAATATACATTAGTCTGAAATTCACTTGTTCCTTTTGTGAATTAAGGAGATTAATAGGTTAGAATCGAGAAATCTTGTGTTTTAAGCGACACGATAATATTTTTACATCGCCTCCATTCTACCTCTGCATTTATACGGGCGATATTTATGGTAACGATTTCTTAGTAGGCCCTATATATTCACCGTTTCTTTACCAGCTAGGTGCATTAAGAATTCAAAATTTTTGAAAGATCGCATGTGGAAACACAGTTGAGTTCCGATGCGGATCACAAATGTCCATGTTTGTGCTTCAAAGTTTCTTCTTTCACGCTGCTATAACCTTCAATAATACAACATCTTTGTCCACCCCACACTCCCCGTTTTTCTTCGTGCTTTCTGCATTTTGTCGGAGACCATATGGGTCTGATCCCCAAAGAGATTCATACGCGCCACGTTTTTTTTGCTACGCAATGTACATCTTACATACATAAATAAAAAGCCGATTTTGTATTGACATGATTTTTCTACCATGTGGCGTTACGGTGGTAATAGACAAAAAAGGTGCAAATCCTATAAATTTAAGAACCCTAATTCAGGAAGAGGCGAGTATAATTCAGTGTTTCTTTTTACAATGCACTGACATGCATCTTTCATTGTAGATATTAAAGCTCCCTGCTTTATTAATGTTATTTATGGCATTTAATAAAGATGAGTTCAGATAAATAATTTTCTACACGTTGGTACAAGAATTAGTAAGGATTTCTGAAGAATGTGTGACAAATGAGAATTTTGATTAAGTTCAGTTTCTGCGAATAATAACTTATAGATCGACAAGAGCGTATTTTATAAGCGTCTATAAATTTACACTGAGTGTACAGGTTACGTAGAATTAGTTAACCTGATTTACGAAAATAAATATACTAACGAAGATGACTGTCTTCTGAGTTATTGCGTCGTATAGTATGGTAGAAGTTTACCGACGTTTCAGAGATCATTGCTGCCCCCATCATCAGGGACACTAGACTACACGGTGCAACAACCCAGAAACTCACCTCAAATCCTACACAATATACTAACGGCTTTTATATAATCACTTCCGCAGTAATCAATAAAGTCGCAATTACTCAGCTATTAGAAAATCTGTATAAAAGTCATTCAGAATGGTTAACAATATAATTACACTTAGCAGAGACTTTACTGAATTCTGTCAGTTGTTAAACTCTTCAATAAACACTCTCCATTTTATGTAATCCGAAATTTCATTACCACGTCACGACAGACCGCCACCTGACATTAAACACAATTAAGATACCTTAAAACATAAGTTGGAAAATAAGACAGTTAAATCAGGTAAGAATAATGTGCTGTTACAAATTGAATTATAATAAATATTGTTACGGGCGTCAGGTATGTAAGGAATTTTCTGTACAAAATAAGATGCAAAATACAGGACAAAATTAGGGATTTAGAACTATACGGTAGTAATAAGGAATAGTTATGTGTAGTAGTATTAATTAATATGTGAGGACTGTGGTCGTGAAAACCTGGTGTTAGGCGGCCACAGATCACTGTATATATAAATATATATAATATATATAATAAATACTATTTGTTACCTGCTGTGAACTAAAGTAAATTTCAAAATACTGGGTCGGATACATATATTTTGTTTCGGTGCAGTCTATAGAATTAAAGGAGGAGAGAAACTTGATGTCTGTAGGATGCGCTGTGATTCGACGATGAAAATTCTGCTCACATGTTACGAGAGCGAACAGCGTTAAATAGAAAGGATACATCTAATCTGTACGTGTGTGGGTGTACTAATTTCTGAAAGGCGAGCCTCGAGGCTCGCTTTGGTTTACGGACCGTCCACAGAGACTGTAACCTTTTTTTACCAATTTTATTTCGGACACCGCGATGTATATTTGTGACATCCTGCGTCTCTGCGATTCATTCCAGTCGCGTCTTCGGATGACTGGTCGTTATTGCACTGACAGATCTAATTTTAAACTTAATGCTTTATTTTTATTTAGACCCCATCTGTAATTCTTGTCCTCCGGTTTTACCGGCTGGAGCTCTGTGTACAAGTAGCTTACGGGGCTGAGCCCCGTCGAATGCTGAATATAATTCAGTGTTTCGGCAAACAATTTAGTTGCCATCTTAAGGGTGATTATGTCTTTCGTAATTGTTGAAAGCCTTTTTTCGGGCAGGCAGTGAAGGCGAGTTGGATTTTGATGATGCTGGAATCACTGCATACTCACCCTGATGACGGCAACTAAAATGTTTGCCGAAATGGAAAATGTTCAACACTGAAAGCGAATCATCCCTGAAAACTAAACTTACATTAATCTGTTTTTGGTGTTACTTTGAATTTAAAATAAATTAAAATCCATCTGTGACAAAATAAATTCAAGAACAATTATAAATGAATTTTCATATGCGAACACTACATAGTTTCTCAAGAAATAAAATACATCGTTTAGTATAATTTGATAGTCATGAAGAAATTCCTGTCACTGGAAAATGTAGAAGTCCAGCAATAGTCAAATTATTGGAACTGGATGAAAAATGTTCGAACTGATTTAGTAGCTGTTATTCTTCTTCTCATTTTATTTTTACATTAATTTAAATTCGTTAGAGTTCCTCTGCGATAATTGCATTTTGAAGCTCTGCCAACTATTTTGTCCCATTTATATATTAACGGAATAAGTAAATAAAATTGGGATCTTCTAAACTGTAAAATGGATTTATTGCACACTGTTCTAATTTCATATGTCCCTGCTTAATGTTCTGTCCGTTTAGAAACCACAGTCTTGATTTTCTATAATATTGGCTTCAGACTTGTTGCAATTTCTTCTCGTCGACTTACACACGCTATGATCTGCTACTGCCTCATTCACAACACAACTTAGAGATCGCTCGTACGAACTTACAGCTCGCCTGGAATATAGTCAACCTAGCACGTTCAAAAATTTTCCACTGATGTGTTTACCGAATTCAACCATAGCGTTATAGTTTCCAGTGGCGGGCTCTTGTGAGCAGAGTGATAAACGTATTTCTGTTAAGGCGAGGGAAAATATGATCGCCCGAGTGTCTAAGTGTCACAGATTACTCTGTTCCATGGAATTTAGTTACTAGTTACTCATTTTATGACCTTGTAAATTGCTATTTCGTGATACGTATATTAATGTGTTTCTTTTCACTTAAGATTCCTGCTTCGTCTCGGCTTAAAACCTCGACCGGAGTTCGGTTATCCTGAATGTAGATTACAGTGGTTTATCTCAGTATCTCCTGGTAATTGGTGTCGGCATAGTGCCTCAATTATACCACGACCGCCATCTTCCATACCCATCCA